TGCTCCTGTTCTTCTCACGGACCTAGCAGCAGCAAGTAGTGACTTCCTCTCTTCCTCTCTCCATAGTGCGCTCCTGTAGTCCGTGAAAGCACCGGACAGCTCTTTCTCGTGAAGCACTATCAGTCCGTCCCTCGCTCGCTCTTTTGACTCCCCAGACTCGTCTCTTTCTCACGCTCTCTGCCTTCTCTCTCCCACCATGGGAGGTCAATTCGACGCGGGACCGGTTCCCTTATTCCGCGCACAGCCCCGTCCCGGCTCACGCCGCCGTCTCACCGCCACCCCGCCCCCGTACACGCATCCGCGCGTCCTCTTCACCGAGGCGGACCGCGCCGACCTCACGCGCCGCGCGCTGCACGGGGACGCCGCCGCGCCCACCGCCGTCCCGCGCGCGGCGTTCGAGGAACTATCGCGGTGGGCGGACCGCGTTGTGTATGCTGCAGATTCGCCAATCAAGCAGATCTTTGACGTGCTCGCGGGTACGATTTCCGCGCGCCTCCCCTGCGGCGACCCGCGCAAGGCGTTCGCGGGGCTGAAGGCGCTCGTTACCGACGCGGGTTCGAAACCTCCCGGCGCGGTTATCAACGGGGCGTTTTACACGCGGATGTTCGACATGGGAGTGGCCCCGGCGACGAAGAATTACGTGCTGAAGAGCGCGGGGATCGTGCCGCCGCCCCCCGCCACGGACGCGACGCCGTCGCTCGGGGTAAAGCTGCTGTTCGGCTCGCAAGACGCGGGCGTTCCTAGTTTTTACCCTCCCGTCTACGAAGCTTTGCAGAACGCGGCGTACGTGGCGTGGGTGCGCGGCGATCAGAAGCGCCTGGAGTATCTGGCGGGCGTGCTGGCCGTGGCGGCCGGCGTGCACCTGCTGTTCCACGCGCGCGGGTCGCTCGTGCTCGTCAAGGGCGAAGGGGGCTTCTGCAAGTAAGTGGGGGGGGGAGGCGGGGGGTGGGGGGGGGGGGGGGACGCTGCGAGGGGAACGGGAGAGAGGTGGGGGGAGAGGGAATTCGTAGGTTCGTGTCACCATGCATATTCACTGCGTTTGTGCGCAATTGCTGTGCTTGCCTTGCCACTCGCACTCGCACTCGCACACGCCCTTAGCATTTTTTATGCCGCAATTCCAACTGCTGCGTGCTTTCCCCCACCACACCACCTCAGCCTCTTCCCCTCCCTCTCCCCCCCTTTCCCCCTTCTCACCCCCCCGTACGACACGTCTGAGTCAATACGAAATTCATCCCGCATCCCTCCCAACCCTCTCTCCCCACCCGCAGGTACAACACGGGGCCGCGCAGCGACAGCTCCGCGTCAACCGCGCTCGCCCTCGCCTACGACCTGCTCTTCACGCCCTCCCTCCGCGCCACCGGCTCCCGCGCGCAGCTCGCCCCCGCGCGCCGCCTGCTGCTGCGCATGGGGCGCAACCGCGTGGCGTCCGCGTTCAACGCGGACCCCTACCGCATGGGCAAGGGCGCGGCTCTCAACCCCTTCTACACCGGCACGACCTTCCAGCTGGCGACGGCGCTGGTGCTGCTGGTGCAGTATGCGGTGGAGGGCGAGGAGGAGGAGGACTGGGAGGAGCCGTGGGATGAGGCGGAGAGAGAGGAGGAGATGAGGAGGAAGGGGGTGGTGGTGGTGGGTGGGGTTGGTGCGGGGGTGAGTGGGGATGTGAAGGGGTGGAGGGAGAAGGTGCGGTACGATGCGGTGGCAGTGGATTTGAATGTGAAGTCGCTCTTCTATTACATGACCTATGCTGGCGCCTGTGATCCCACTGGTGCGTGTGTGCCGTTCCGTTTCACGCCAACCCCTCCACTCCACTGATCTTGCCTGTACATTCTGTTTGTGCATCCCTTGGTATTATCTCAAACCTCGCATTAGCATCCGATAAGACGTCCCACACAACTGTTCTGCTAAGTTACGGCTTCCTTTGTATCACGAAATTCCTTTCCCTCCCCAACCCCAACCCCTCTCTCGCCTCCCTTCATCCCCTCCTCCTCCCCATCCCCCCTCCCCTTCTTCCCCCCCCCCCCACCCCCCAGGCGTCACACGCGAGTTCCCCGGGTACTTCATGACGCCCATGCGCCAGGCGGCCTTCCCCATGCTGGCGGTCATGCGGCGAGGCCACGACGTCTTCACCGACCCCACCAACACCTACCAGCTGCTCATGGACGTCTTCCAGACCCTCGCGCCCTGGTCCCTCGCGCCGCCCTGCTTCGGCGCGCAGGACGGCACGTGCTTCTGCGGGGGGTTCTCCCAGAGCGAGTACTACCTGCTCGCCAAGTACCTCTTTCCGGGAGACCCGCTCACGGATTTCGTGTACCAGAAGTATAATACTCAGCCGAGGACGAAGCAGATTGGGGGGTTTGGTGTGAACAAGATGCCGTTCCAGACGTGCCTGCTGGGCATGGATGTGACCAAGAAGAATATTTCCTATTTGCAGGTGGCGTCAGTGGTTGGCCTTCCGCTCGTGCTGTTTGCGAACCGGCTGGGCACTGGTACCGCGCGGTCGGGGTGGGGCGATGGCAGCACCACTGCTGCTACTACTCCTGCTGCTGCCGCTGCTGCTGCTGGTGCTGTTTCTGACAAAGAGTGGGAGGCGGAGTTAGCTGCAGCAACAGCAGCCGCCCAGCCAGGCGAAAAACCCACCCCTCCTCCCCCAGCCTCCACACCCCCTGTCATCCCTTTTCCACGCATCCCCCTCCCGTCTCCCACCTTCCCGGTCACCCCACCGTGGTCCGCCTCCCAAGTGAGCACGGACGAGCAGGGCCTACTCCTCTTCTTCGAGTGTCGCCCCGACACCTACTTCCTCGACCACTGCCACGCATCGCGCAACGACTTCTACCTTCTCGGCTGCTCCCGTGCTTGGATCTGCCCTGCTCTGTACCACAACGTGGAGAGCGAGGCGTGCTCGTCTGTGCTGATTGACGGGCTGGGGCAGGGCGGGACTCATACGCTGGAGGCGGAGGCCAAGGGGTTTCCGCTCACGTGGAGCTGCATGCCGGGGAAGGTGGTGGGCACGTGGCATGAGGAGCGGCTGAGCTGGTTTGCCGGGGATGCCAGTGCTGCGTACCGGTTTGTCACCAAGGGCTGGCAGGTGAGCGAGGGGCGTGGGGAAAGTGGGTGGGTGGGTGTGTGGGTGGGTTGGGGTGCGTGCCTGGGCGGGCGGGCGGGCGAGCGGTGGGCGGGGGGGTGGGCGGGTGGGTGGTTGGGCGGGTGGACGAGTGGACAGGTTGGGGGGTAGGGAGGGTGGGTGTGCGGGTTCTGGTGGGCGTCACGAGAGTGTCTGTTTTTTGTGACTTAGCTTGCATGTCTGGATGGTGTAGTCGGTTATCACGCCAGTCTCACACACTGGAGGTCTCTGGTTCGATTCCGGGTTCAGACAGCCTTTTTCCCACCGGCTGCAAGTGCATGCTGCATGCTTGGCTTGCCTCCCACCGTCCCTCACTTCTCGTTCCCTCCTCACCACATCATCCCCACAGGTGCCCCACCCGGCCTCTTATAAGCACTCCGTCACTCACTCCCCACCCCCCTGTCTCTTCCCCCTTCTCCTCCCCTCCCCACCCCACCACACCCTTCCAGGTGCCCCGCCCTGCTGCGCGGCCACAGGACGACAACAACATTGAAACCCCGTACGCATGGAAGGACTTCTATTACGAACCCGTGGATTTCGGCCCCTCGCTCGTGCCCAAGATCATCAAGAAGGGCACCCCCCCTCCTGCTGCTGCTGGGAGTGCGGGGGCAGTGCCGGGGGCAGGGGACCCAGAGGTGGAGCCGGAGTGGGTGGATGACAATGCATGGGCGTCGTGGCACATCTGTGCGCGCCAGGAGTTCAACCCCGTGCGCTACGCCTTTCGCACCGCCGCTCTCATCCGCGCCAAAGTCACCGGCAGCAGCAGCGGCGGCGGCAGTGCAGGAGGCACGTGCGCAGCACCAGTTCCAGGGAAGGACGCCAAGACTTGCCCTGTGAACCCCGCTCAGGCGCCAAAGTCGCGGCCGTATGCGATCATCGTGGATGATATTCGTAAGGACGAGAGGCCGCACACGTACACATGGGTAGCCAACACTACCCAGCCGTACATGGCCATGGTGGGGTACGGCCAACGCCTCTTCCTCCTCACCGGCCCTCAGCAGCAGCAGCAGAAGCCGGGTGCAGCAGCAGCAGCAGCAGCTGCAAGCGACGATGTGATTATCTCTCCGGAAGAAGCCAGGCGGTATGCGTCTCTGGACCCAACCACAGATGCCATTTTCATCCGGGGGGACGACGTGCATCCCAAGACCCGCCAAGCGCTCCCAGGCACGCCGCGCATGCTGCTGCGCGTGCTGCAGGGCGACGGGCACCGCTCTGCACCCATCCGGCTCGTGAAGGTGGAATCCAGCAAGTCGCCCCAGGGCCCGGGCAGTGGCAAGGGGCCGTACTATGCCGGTGTGGCGACGGGTGGGGAGTACTGGCGTGTGGAGGTAGAGAGGAAGGCTGTGGTGGAGCCGAGGTTCAAGATCATGCTGCTGCCGTTCCTGGAAGGGGAGGAGCTGCCGGTGACAGGGTGGCACAGGGGGAGAGGAGATGCGGGTGGGAAGGAGGGCCCGGAGCTGCTGACCGTGACTTGGGGAGGAGGGGTGTGCTGTGCTGCTGCTGCTGCTGCTGCTGCTGCTGCTGGTGCTGGTGGTGGTTGTGGGGGAGTGGGGCATGAGGCAGTTGTGGACTATTTGTTGTTTGAGAGGGGCAGTGACAATAGGACGCGCGTGACGCTGCTGGAATGATGGCAACTGGGGAGGAGAATGGGGGGGCTTGTTTTTGTATTTATTGTACTGTGATTGTCAACAGATATACTGTAGCTCAATTTCTCTGTATGTCCTCTATAGGTTCAGCTAAGAGCACCTCACTGGGTCACTGCGTTCCTCATTACTATATTCAGTTGAACCGTAAGCTTCATCTCAATAGACTTAATAGTCCTACTGAGCTGCAAAAAAAAAGGTACATCATTAGAGCCAACATCATCATTCCTCCAATTTCACCGCGCACATCCTCTCCCCTTCCTCCCCTTGTCCTTCGTTCCCACGTGCTCAGCCTTTCCCATCCTCCCCCACACAACATGCACTTGTTTCCCACAAAAGCCCACCTCCTCCACCCCTTTCTCCGACACACCACTGCCATACACATCCACGTGCCGCAGCGCCCTCACCTCTCCGAGCGACTCAGGCAGACACTTGAGCGCCTCGCACTCCCTCAGTTGAATCACTTCCAAGCGCGGAAGCAGGCTGGGGGTGGAAGGGAGGGAGTGCAGGTGCTTGCAATGGCTGAAGCAGGCCACTTGGAGCGTGGATAGGGAGAAGGACCCGGGAAGGTGCGTGAATGAGTCGCAGTCGACAATTTTGAGGCGGGTTAGGCGGGGCAGCAAACCGAAGGTCTCAGAAAGGGAGGCGAAATCCAGGCATTTGGAGATGGTGAGAAAGGTGAGGGAGAGCAGGGCGGAGAACGAGTCAGGCAGATGGTGGACCTTCTTGCATGAGTGGACAGAGAGGCGCTGCAGGGAGCATAGCGAGCCGAAGGTAAAAGGCAAGGCAGTGAGATCGTCGCAGCTGGTGAGAGTAAGCGTGAGCAGACGAGGGAGGAGGCAGAAGGAGGGAGGCAGGCTGAAACCGTGAGAACAGCGAGCCAAAGAGACCTCCTCAAGCGAGGATAAGCCTCCCAAAGTGTCAGGCAGGGGATATCTCAACCCACCACGAATATGCAGATTCTTCAGTGATCTCAGGAAGCCAAACCCCGGAGGTAGGGATTCCAGGCTGTTGCACGAGTCAAGAGTGAGCTCTTCCAGGCGCGACAGCTGAGAAATCTCTGTGGGCACCTGCTTTAAGGCTTTGCTACCAATGAACAGGCGGCGCAGGGAGGTCAGGTCACAGAGAGTTCGCGGAAGCCCATCGCTCAAAGAGCAGCCTCTCAGCTCCAGCCACTCCAAGGCTGCCAGCTGGCCCAGATCTTCTGGAAGCGACACGTGGCTGCGGTGGTGCCAGCCGTACTCTATGTGTAGCGTGCGGAGGGCGCACAGGCGCGCAACGCCAGGCAGGGAGGAGGGAAGGTGTATGTTGTGGAGGTGGAGGTGTGTGAGGGAGGTGAGGTCCGTGAGAAAGGAAGGGAACGCGCGCTGAAAGGCATCCAAGCTCTTGACGCCACTGTTGTAGTGCAGCTTGAGCGAGTGCAGGCACGGGGCGAGGCGGGAGAGGGAGTGCGGGAGGAAGAGCCAGGTGCCACACAGGGAGAGAGAGCGCAGGTTGGTGAGATGGCCTAGATCCGAGGGGAGTATGATGGACGAGGAGAGTCCGTCGATGGAGAGGTGCGTGAGGGAGAGCAGCGAGCACAGACGCGCGGACAGTGTGATGCTTCTCCTGCCGTAACCCAGGCTGCCCAAGTACATGGTGAGATGCTTCAGCAAAGGGCCGAGTGCCGAGTGGTGCCCTGCTGCGGCTGCTGATGCTGCTGCGTTTGCGTCTGCGTCTGCGGCGGCAGCAGCGGGATGATTCCGTGCGACGTATCCCGTCGTGTTCTCCACCGCCATCACGTCATGAGGTTCCAGCCACACGAAGTAGCGCATATTCACGTACACCAGCGACGGCAACGTGAAGACCGCCTCGGGAACGCGCTCCTTGTGGTTGTAGCTTGCCAACTCCAGCCGCTCCAGAGATATGAGCTGACTTAGCGGCTCGAGGGATACGTTGGAGCTGACATAGTTGGTCTTTAGTTGGCGCAATGCTGTCGCGAAGGGCAGGATGGGTGGGAGCTCCCCGCAGAAGCTGATGGTGAGGTGCGTGAGCGCGTGCACTGATGCGAGGTGGAAAGTGCGCATTTCGTCGCAAGAAGAGAGAGGTTCGCCCAGTTTTCGCATTCCACTGGTAACGCGCCGTTGAAGTTTCGCAGCTCCAGTCGCCGCATCTGCTGCAGCGTGCCGACGCTAGGCGGGAAGCGATCGACCTGCCATGAGCCGTCGACGTGGAGAGAGGTGAGCGAGGCGAGATCGCCGAGCGAATCCGACAGGCGCCGCATTTCCTTGCAGCCTGTAAACGAGAGGTGCTCCAGCCTCGTTAGCCGGCCGAAATTCTCGGGCAGCTGCTGCAGCAACGGGCAGTTTAGGTAAAGTTCTTGCAAGGAAGACAGCAGTCACATTTCGTTGGGAAGCGAGCGGAGAACCTTGGAGCACATGCGGAGCACGCGCAGCGACGACAGCGATGCGATGGAAGCAGGAAGCTTCGTCGTGTGGCCGAAGCATTCACGCAGCGAGAGCTCTTGCAGGCGCGACGACGCGACGCGGAAGAAATTCTCGAGAGATTTCGTGCTGATTCGAAAGTGGGGCGCTCCGGTGAAGCGGGGAGGGGCAATGCTGAGGCGGGCGAGCTGAGGGCGCGCGGAGAGCAGGCGAGACAGGAACTCGTCGTCGTAGAAATCGACGGCGTTCGCCTCCAGAATTAGCGCCGTGATGCTCGGCGCGAGCGCCAGCGCGCGGAAGAGCGCCGGCGCGGAGATGGCGGGAGCGGAAAGCGTCATCTCGCGCCGATCAGGACGGCGGAGTTCGGAAAAGTGTGAGTCAAAGTCGCCACGGACGCGTAGTGTCGTCATCAGCAGCATCCATCGCTTACAAACGGCCGCGAGGTTGCTACCACCGGGGGCATCCGTGAGGTTCGGCTCGCGAGTCTGGCCGGTATCCTCAGCGTCAACTTCTGCTGTCAGTCCTGCAGAATTGGCGACAGTAGCGAGCGAGATAATTCTGGAAAGAAGCTCGTCTGGCAGATGGTTGATCGACATGGCTCGCGCCCTGTTGGCCATTGACGGGGAAAGCTGCTCTCCCCGCGTTCTCGCTTCACGAGGTACAGAAGGTCTTAAAACCCGGGGGCCAGATTTTGGTTCATCCTTCCTAGTGTTGGTTGGGTGTGATTTAGGCCTGTGATTTTCCCGAGTTTCTACCACCTCGTCCAACAACTTCGATTCTCCTATTGGCTCACGGGCAATTACCGTCCTCACTCCCAACCAACCTTCCTAATTTGAATATCTTGGCCCGCGGGTTTTAATAACTGCGTTGAACGCGTCATTCTTGCTTCACACGTCAATCCCTAGAGTTCTACTTCCACAAATGAGTCGGAAAGTAAAGGGAAATTTGCCGCCACTCCAACGTTTTTCACGGTATCGGCAAATGTGTTAGAACGAGAACGTCGAGGCAATACGGCGGTTGTAAATCAAACCTAGCAGTCCTTCGAGGGTCAGGGTGGCGTCGTTCAATGGCTGGATTTGTAGAAGAAAACAAAGTCGCGAGTTGGCTTCAGCTGAGCACGAAACAGTTTTCCAGAAACGGAAATCCGTACATCTTCGGCGTTCATTTTCGTTACTCAACGGTACTTGTGCCAAAGTTGAGATGAAGAGATATGGCTGGAAACATGCAACCTCGTGGCTGCGAGAAGAGGTAAAGGTTATGGGGAAACCCCCTTGGTATTACCCCGGCTGTCGGTCGTAACCCGCCTACCCATTTGTTTACACGCCTCGCTGGGTATCGAGGTTGTTGTATCCACTCCCAGATGAGCACCTGTGTAACCCCCTTCTGGGGGGCTGGCTGAACACGCCACAGGGGGGATTAGATCCCGGGACCTCATCTTTCGGAAGCGAACCAGCTAACTAGCTGGGCCACTTCAGGATAAGTGGCTGCGAGAAGAGGATTTCGAGGGAAAAACACATCATTACTGAATGTCAGGCAGGCCTCTCTTTTCGTTTTGAGGCACTCTTCCATTTCAGGGTTCACCCCACCCGCCACCCGGCCTTGAATCAGGGTAATGGCAGGGTATTCTCTCTAAAATCTGATTTGTGGCAGGGTTACATTTTCAGCAACCCTGCCTTGCACATTGCTTTACTTAGCAGAATTCTACCCGCATAAGATATATTTTTCGTGTCCATCCCGCGGACATTTTATCTTCAGCTACTCGGGTCCGGCTCACTGTTCCATCACTTTATCAAGAACGACTATTTCCAAGGCTTCGTGACAATTAAAACAATGATCTCAAGGATCCTCCAGCTACCTACTTCCAAGGTTTCGCATTACCAGCATCTAACTTCAATGCTGAGCAGGCTCGTCATACTCCCAAGGTCTCAACCGCGGGAACACAGCATATTGCTCAGGAGATCAGGTCTCGAGCATTCTGGTTACTACTTAAGGAGGTGGTGCTCAGTTCTTCCGCAGCTCAAGCTTCTTGGATTGTCGCTTCCTCCTTGAAGCTCTTTTCATCACAACTGCTGCTTCTCTGGTTTCATCATTGCACCATGCCTCCCAAGGGTCGCCCGGCGAAGGCTCCTGTGGACGTCACTCCGCCAGCTGTTGACTCTCCTGTCAAGCTTGACGCGTTTTTGCCTGATGGTGTCAATGTTCTGCTGACTGACAAGAACGATGCGTCGGTACCTGCGGGGGAGAATGCCTCTGGAAGCACGGACAACACTGATGCGGTCAATGTCACCCTCCCGTCTGCTGCTGCTGTTGACGCTGCCGTCGCTGGCTGCGCTGGCTTAACTGTGGAAGAAAAGGCGAACACATAGCAAGTCGTAGGAGGATTGGATGAGGGTTTCCTAGAGGATGATTCGGATGAGGAACTCGACACTGACATTGCGAAAGAGGCCGCTTTCCGTCTTCGCTTTATTGCAATCTTACTGATCCCAATGACGCTGTCTCAGGATGTTAAAGCTATCATTGCTGCACTCCGCGTCTTGATGAAGAAGGTCTGGAGCGGCTCACTTACGGAGAATGCGGGAGTCACTGCCAATATCCAAGAGATGACACCTGGTTATGTGGCCAAGACTCGTTTGCGCCGTCTTCATATCTCTTTCCTCGATGAGCGTGCCGCGCATCACATCAAGTTTCATACCTTCGAATACCAGAAGAAAAACGGTCCGTCAGTGAAGTGTCTCTGGCAGCATACTGAAGACTCCTCTTACCTCAGAGAGAAGTCGTCTAACCCGCTCGTGATTGAAGTTTTGTTTAAGCGGGTCCCGGCTAACATTGTACCTGACGTGCTGAAGGATCTTCTTGTCCGTTTCAAGCTTAAGATGAGGAAGCAGACGGCTTTCAAGGATGGTTTCTGCTTCCATCGAGTTTCTCACCCGTTAATCGGCGCAGACACTGACGTGGTGAAGGGACTGGTCATTCAGCATCCTGGGGACTGGTACCGCTGGCGCCATATTGTTGACAACCCTATGGAGGTCGGCGCGAAGTTGCTGGTTCATTATCCTGAGTTGCCTGCCATTATACTGTTGACCTCCTCGAGAAGTCCCTCCTAGCGGCCGAGAAGAGCATAGTCGCTGTAGGGGCCTCTCGTGGTGACCCGCGCACCCCCATCTTTGAGGGGTGTTCCCCCTCCCCCCTTCTGCCCTCTGTTGCCTCTGCTGCTGCGGCCGACCTCCTTGTTCTTGAGTCGGTCGGTGCGGCGTCTGCCCCTAGCGGGAGACGCCGCTCTGGCAAGGGCAAGGGGGGCAAGGGCGCTGGAGGAGCGAGCGGGGGCGGTGGAGGTGGAGGTGGCGGCAGTTGGGGGAGTGGGGGTGGCGGTGGGAGTGGAGGTGGGGGTGGAGGGGTCGGTGGCGGCAGTGGAGGTGGAGGTGGCGGCGGCGGTGGCGGTGGGAGCGGAGGTGGCGGAGGTGGCGGAGGTGGAGGCGGCGGCGGAGGCGGAGGCGGCGGCAGTAGCGGAGGCGGCGGAGGCGTCGGAGGCGGCGGGGGTGGCGGTGGTGCTGGTCGCGGGTCTTCGCAGAGGAGTGGCTCCGGTGGTGGCTCGCGCCAGCAGCAGCAGCGTGGTCGTGACACCCTGTCCCCTCAGCAGCTTCGTGAGTGGTACACTGCGCGTCAGCGGGGTGGGGGTTTTGGTCCGTGCTCCTACGTTTTGCGCACTGGCGACCGTGCGGGTGAGCAGTGTGGGGGTGCCCACCCCACCCAGCGCTGCTTTGGCCGCCTGACGGACGCGTGGCGTCACCAGTTCCCGGAGGCCTCCGAGATCCCTCGCTGGGGCGAGCTGTCTAGGGCGGGTGTTGCCATCTATGATCTTGACTTTGATGCTATTCTCTCTGCCATGTATGCTGTGTCTATTAGTGATGAGGGTGACTGTTACCGGTGTTTCCCGCCCGATCCGGGCATTGAGACTGCTGCTCTAGGTCCTGGTGAGGCTGCTGCCCTAGGTGCTTGCGACGCTGCTGCTCTAGGTGCTCGTGTGTCTGCGTCCTCAGGTACTGGTGAGTCTGCGCTCTCAGGTACTGCGTCGGCTTCGGCCTCCCTCACCTTCACCCTTGACTCTGGGGCGTCTCGCTCCTTCTTTCGGGACCGCACCACACTCACACCGCTGAGTCGACCGGTTGCAGTGTCTCTGGCTGACCCCTCTGGGGGTCCTGTCCTGTCTCGCTTCTCCACAGTCCTCCTCCCGTGTCCGGCGGCTCCCTCTGGCACCCTGTCTGGTCTCTACCTCCCCTCGTTCTCTACGAACCTGGTGAGTGGTGCTGACCTACAGGATGCGGGGGTCCACCAGTTCACTCCTGCACGTCAGAGAGTGACCCACTGTACAGAGGCTGGCACAGGCCGACACCTGGCTACGTTCACCCGTCAGCCGGGGTCGAGCCTGTACACTCTGACCACTGCGTCTCCTCCAGTTGCTGAGTCTGGTAGGGTAGTTACGTCGGGTCAGGTGTTTGCTGCGGCGTCCAGGTCTGGTCCTGAGTCTGCCCCCTGTTCGTGTCGTCTCCTGTCTCACGAGACTCTCCTCTGGCACCACCGCCTTGGCCACCCCTCTCTGCTTCGGCTCAGAGGTATGGCCTCCCGTCTTCTTGTGTCCGGTCTCCCCCGGTCCCTCCCTCCCCTTCCTCAGGGCCCTGGCCCTGCCTGTGTCCCCTGTGTCGAGGGGCGCCAGCGTGCTGCCCCTCACTCCTCCCAGTTTCCTCTGACAGAGGCCCCGTTGCAGACACTTCACATGGACGTGTGGGGCCCAGCCCGCGTCCGTGGACAGGGTCACGAGCGCTACTTCCTGCTCGTTGTTGACGACTACTCGCGTTACACCACAGTCTTCCCCTTGCGCAGCAAGGGTGATGTCACTGAGGTGCTGATCGACTGGATCCGCGCAGCTCGTCTCCAGCTCAGGCAGAGCTTCGGCTCGGACTTTCCTGTTCTGCGTCTGCACTCGGACAGAGGCGGAGAGTTCTCCTCTGGCCTTCTGCGTGCCTACTGTCGTGCACGGGGCATCCGTCAGACCTTCACGCTTCCGGACTCACCGCAGCAAAATGGGATTGCTGAGCGCCGCATTGGCATGGTCATGGACGTCGCTCGTACGTCTATGATGCATGCGGCTGCCCCCCATTTTCTGTGGCCGTTTGCGGTGAGGTACGCGGCGCATCAGATCAACCTCCACCCCAGGGTCTCCAGGCCGGAGACCTCCCCAGCCTTGCTGTGGACGGGGAAGGTTGGCGATGCGTCGGCGTTCCGGGTCTGGGGATCTCGGGCGTTTGTCCGCGACCTGTCTGCGGACAAACTATCCCCTCGTGCTGCTCCTTGCGTCTTCCTGGGGTTCCCCCCTGATGCGCCTGGGTGGCAGTTTTACCACCCCACCTCTCGCCGTGTTCTGTCCTCCCAGGACGTCACGTTTGACGAGTCGGTCCCCTACTACCGCCTCTTCCCCTACCGCACTCCGTCCCTCCCCCCACCCCCACTCTTCCTGGTACCAGGTCCCCCCCAGGTAGACCCCCTCCCCCCTCAGGGTCCTGCCCCTTCAGGTGTGTCCCAGGTAGACGCAGTCGAGCCTGTCGAGGTCACTGGTGACTCT